GGGGCCATTAATAATTGCAGACATTATGAACGTCAAACAGAGTGTTAAGCTTGTGCAAGCAACCAGGAGCTAGAGCAAGCGTTACACGTTGCTGCCCGTAATGTTCTCGTGTGGCTTCCGGTTGCGATGCGGAGATCATCGGAGATAAACCTTGATTCGGTGTCACCAGCAGTGGTGTCCGAAGAAGTTATGGTGAGTGAACATGCAGTTAGTCAACATAATTTTAATGCATAGCTAAGCTAATACTATGCCAGACCTTTGATCTTAACAACTACTTGTGTTTTCTAACAGTGATTCACTCGAACTAACTTGTGCAATAATTATTAACGCTCTCTGAGCGAAACATGATGCGCTCTCGTTGCACGATGCATTACTTACATATGTCTCCAGAGCTCTGTTCACGAAGAGGAAGGTCTGTATGTCTGACACAAGGTCGCTCACAAGAGTATTGTGTGGAACCTCATTGAATAAAATATTCTCCTAATGCATCATACTTGTGAAAGCTTAAATCAAGCCTAAACATATCCGCAGAATCGTAACACAAATCATCGAATGTGTTCGACGAAAAAAGTGCTAAGACGCTGAAGTGTGCTTTGTGTCTTTACTAGATTGTACCGTTTTAAACTGTTTGAGACGATCGATCCACAGAAGTGTTATTTATTGTTATCAAAACATCCCACCTTTTTTTGTCGGACTGAACGAGCTCGGTAGGGCACTGCGAAAACCATGTAAGCCTAGAACTTCAAGTGATAAAGAATAGGTGTATACATACGACGACCCTTTTGCAAGAGCCAACTACTTTCCATGGATCGCTTCACGCAAATGGCAGATAATCCACGACCGAAGACTCTGCTTTTCGCTATAGTGTTAGTTTGAGAGTTACTTCCCTGGCTGGGCACAAGCTTCTTCTATATTTACATGAATTTTTTATTGAGTTTAGCTTGTGATGCTTTTTAAATTTTACACAGATAGCTTAACCATGTACGTAAACAACTCCGGGCACCAAAGTAAGTGCTACTGGATTAATGATGCCCACCGTTGGGAAGCTGCAACTTCGTGAGGTAACGACCGAGTCATCCATATACTTATAGTAAGCGCTTGCAACGCTGAGGAAAAATAGTTAAAGAAGCGGGCCTTGATATCTGCTACAAATACTTACATCTGCCAAAAAAGGGGGATTCGCCGATGGAAAAAACGGCCATAGGCACCATGAATACGATAGAAACCACAAAAGGCGTGCACTGCCGCCAGCGCCAAAGCGACTACGGCAGCTGCTCTGACAGGATACGGGACCACACGACGAAAGTGGTGACAATTGCCACTGCACCGTGCTTTGGCGCTACGCTTGAAGTGTTTTCGCTTCCACTTGATATCAAAAGACCGTGAATTCTTAGCAGCCGTGAGCTAACCATGCTGTTTCCGTGCGTGTTTTTTTTTTCGCCAGACTTCATGCACCCTCAGGCGAACGCGGCCACATCAAATTCTCGGCAAGATTGACGACAGAGGCGACAAGCACGTTGGCTGAAACTGCATGCCGCTTCACTCACTAAGCGATCACTGCTTATCATTCTCAGGCTAACGCGGCAGCGAACTCCATGACAGCGTGTAACAGACGGCAGTAGTGATTTCACTGTCACGGTCGCTGCAGGGGTGCTATCGCGGAGTGATGCCTTAAGTGATGTGCAAAGCTGTTCCTATCGTCGAGCACTCGCAGCTGCTGGTCGTGTTGATAACGTGAAAGAACCGTCGCTCTGACTTCTGGTCACGCGCGCAAAACACAAAAAGCCTTGACATCGGAAGCGCCATTGTTCCACAATTGTTCCTTTTGTGAGCGACTGTGCACGTCCTTCTAAGTCGGAGCATGATGCCGCTAGAGGCGCCGTGGGCACCATTATAGGTCTGGCAACAAACGCTGTTTTTTTGCTCTCGTTTGGTTTCGTAGACATTGCCGACAAAGTCTGAAGACTTCGCAGGTGTTTTCCATTACACAACATAATGCCAGCTCTAGCAGCGAGACACTCTAAGCTCACACGTAGGTTAAACTGAACAGTCTCGGATGCTACATATAGAAGCAATGTTTCGAGTATGCACAGACATGTACCACTTTGCCCAAAGCAAGGTACCGTGGCGTGACCAGCAGCCTTGTTAACGATGATATGGCGCGCCGTAGCAGCACGGCGTCCCGCCGTTATGTGCGAGATGCCACGAGCGACAGCAACTGAACGAACTGCTTTCTTGACCAATGTAGATACAACTGGCAGCGAAGGCTCCATAGAAACCCATACGTTCTGAAAATGGCGGTTTATCAGCTGCTCATGGGGCTTTGCGCCGTCTCTATGAAAACGGAACACTTTCGATGGAACCAAAAATAAAGCACATGTGACGCAATAGCTGGTGATCAAGTGACGTCATTTTGTGAGCACGAGCTTGAAATTTGATATCAAATTACTTTTCATAGGCCCGTGATCGTTAAGGGCTCGCGCTATGGCAATCACCGGCAAGTCTTCCACGAGTGCGCTCAAGTCAACACAGCTAATCTAATACCGACTCATCACTGGAGAGTTATGCTTAAGTGTGCTATCGTGCACTTTGTCTTCGGCTTACAACGAAATTCATTGGACTTTACATGCGGCGTTTGTGGCAACTTCCGCAGATGTCTTTAAGCAACCAATAGCACATACCTGTCTTATCTGCCGCATTGCTTATCTGCTTCAGGCACACGTAGGTTCTTTAGCATGCACAATAGTTGTGTTCTTCAGCTTTAACTGGAAAAATTGGTGCCTAGTCAGGCCGAAATCATGACATTTAGGATTCATTCAATGGTCATTATATCTTTAACCTATTACACTGCGCGCAATGGTAATCAGCACGAAAATATTGGTGACACTACTGGCGTTATTTTTTTTTTGCAATTTACTCCGAGAAATTACCGTACGTATGTGAATTCAGAAATGTGAATTTTAGAGTGATAGATAACTTGGCGATCTGCTCACCGATAACGCAAACAACCATAGGCACTGCATGCTTAACATCGAAAACACGCTACAGGAATGCTGAAAAATGAAAGTCCTCCGAGTACTGTATTCCGAACAATCGCCCTAGATTCTTATTTAGAAAACATGGCTCACCATACATACCTTTGTTGCTACTGCATTCGTGCCCAGCACATCGTTTCCGCAGATGCGGACGAAAGCACCACGCTAAAGATAACCTACATTGTTCCGCTGCCCCTTGGACACTGCACCCAAGATATTCACCTACGATAAAACGCACAACAAAATTTCACGCACAGGAGAGAGCGCAAGCCAGTTCGAAGCACTAAGACACGTGAGCAGGTGTGCTATTGCAGACGAATTTTACAAGCAAGCCTTTCCATGCAGTGCAAGGGGGGCACCAAGTAATTATAGCATGCGCAGAGGGCGCCATGAAAAGGATTTTTTGTAATCATAAAAATAAGTCATAAATTCTTTGCTCATTGCGCGTATACCTAATATTGTTTGGGGAACAAATGTCATTCGTGGAACTTAGTGATTGTTTTAACTTTGAATAAAACTTGGTTTGGTATTATTAGTGTTTGTTCCCTTCACACATCGTCGCAGTTCTATCGCAGCTCCCATAACTTCTCACGCTGATGTCAGTGGCAATAGCTTCTGAACCGCTTTTCACCCAAAATTTCACGACCCATTTGAACAGACCTTGTCTTGACGCTTGAAGCCGCCTCCTGTAATGTTAGATGCCACTAACCAAAAGCTCACAATACTGCTGGTGCGGCACACCCATATGCTTCTGGGTATAAAGTTTATTTGGCAAAAGATCTTTTCGGAAGAAACAACAGCGTGTTATATAACGCAACAACCCTTGCAGCTAATCGTCGCTTCCTTTCGAGCTCCATCTTCATCTTTAAACAAACTCTGCGACAGAGACAGAAACATAAAAACCTTCCATAAATTTCCTAGTGATGAATATGTTTTCGACTCTCAGGCTGCTCGCGCCATCTAGAAAGGAATAGAAAAAGCGAGCATTCGTACTTAGTAGGACTTCCGAGATTCGGTAGCACTCGGGCTACCGCAGATCACCGAGCTCATGTCTTGCTTGTATAAACACTGGCTAAGCCTAGAGTTCAGAGAAAACAAGTACGGCTCTCGGTAACGGTGCCAGATCGTCATGAATACGTTGTCGGCGAAGCTTTCGGATACAGACTCGAAGCAAATAAAAGCGTCAGTTTAAGACTAACAGCCCACGCAATGCGTGAGGAACATCTTAAACATTCGAAGTGGGCGGCTCTCTTTTCAGGTAGTACCGCTATGTTTTTTTTTTTTTTCGTTCTCTGGGGCGTGTCGTCCGCGTTCCGAACGTGCTTCGCAGCTGTACGGGTGGAGGAATGGTCATCTGGGAAAGAAATTTCCGCGGAGCCATCCGTAACGTTAGCGTAGCGTTAGCTACACTCATGACTAAGCTCTCTCGGAGGCAAGAAGATGGCGTAGAAGAGTGAATCCGCATGACTTCACTGACTGAGCCAAAGCGGCTTTGCGTGCACGTACAAGAGCAGTGCTGCGCAGGCACCAGGAGCCGTCACTACGCGCGCCTCGATCTCTGCGCATTCCAGAGGAGTGATGCCATGGCTGCGGCAGACGCAATTTGATCGCACCGCATGGCTGTTGCACCTCGAGCCGCGCTGCTCTCTCTGGTCACGTCGGCAACGGCGCTGCATATATGTAGTGGGACGTTTGAAATGTATGGTATAGCCATGAAGAAGAAGACCGAAATGGCTGCTCAGCGGCGCAGAAGAGCTGAGACGCTGAAGTCATCGTATCATGAAGTACTTTCCTGTCAACCAGCGGTGTAGGAAAAGTGAAGCGAAGAATTCTGCGGGGACACCAGAGGTATGTGGGGATATTAGAGAGAAGGGAGCAACATGTATCAAAGCGGCCTTGTTTTTCTCCTCTCCTCCTCCCCCACCCAGAAAAAAAAAACTTCTGGCTGTGCTTTCAGGATGAACAAGTCATTATAAGTAGACGGTAAACCAAAGTGTATTTTTACAGCACTTCATACAAGCAATAAAAATGGTCCCAAAATGAAACAAGCAACAAGCGTTTGGAAGAAAAAAAAACACGGATACATAACAAAGATGACAGGAGTGATCTATGTCCAAAAGCTGCACTTGTCCTCGGACCACAGCTTGTCGCCGCGAGAGCACCCGAAAGTTTTGGCGAAGTGAGCGGAGTTGTTGGCGACACCATTGACGACCACTTCGGCAAGCGGGTCATCGCAGTGGCCCTGGGCCCACAACACGTAGAACAACTCGTTGTTGCTGTACTGCTGCGTGAGGCGCCGTTCCAAGGCCTATTTCATCGGCGAGGCTTCGTCGGTAGGCGTCGAACAATGGCTCAAGGACGGCTGTCTCGGTTTTAACCTGGGATGAGGTTGGGTGTATGAACAAGTCAGGTGTGTTAATTGAGAAAGTCCTGGAAGAAGCCCTGTTAGGGTGTAACTTTCGGGTGGTATCGTCTAAAACAATCGCCACAGGAGTTTCCACCGAATGTGCCCTAGTCATGCTGATGCCCTACAATTGTCTTAATGGTTGACAAATGGTGCTCAAGCAGAGTGGGGTGCGAACAAAGCTTCACCGATAAGTAACACCTTCCCCCTTTGTACACGCATTTTAAAGCGAAGAAAAACTTGCAATAAATCCAAATGTGCTAATGAAGGAATGACAAGCTACTCGAAACGAACTGCCTTTGCTTTCTAGTTTGGCAGGGCTGAAGCTGGTAAGCACCTGAACAGTTTTTGCTATTAAACATTGAGAGTTCTTGGCCCCCGCTGCTGTAAAAGTTTCTAGAAAGAAACCTGCGGAATAATTGACTGGGCAGTTTTGACAAAAAAAAAAGAAGCAAGTCTTATTGGCAACCCCTTCTGTGCACTTCGCCCGCTTCCCACCCACCTTTTGCGCACGTCTAATACAAGCACAATTCGTAGCGTAACCAGATAAGAATGTGAAGTGTTCCTTCACGTGTTCCTGTATCATTGTGCCAGAGTAACCACATCTTTTCTACCAAATTGTGTTGAAATAAACACTTACCCTAGCAATAAAGATAACTAGGAAAGGATAAACTTGTAACTAACTCAGTTAGCTACCTCTGTTGTTCGTCTTAGACCACATCAGTGTTGCGTGTCGCAGCTTACATTGACCGTTACTGAACGGGTGAAGCCTACTGTTGTGTAACATCTTAAAAACACGTTTTAGTGATGGGAAACGCCCTGGTGGAAGGAACCAGAAATTTCGACCACCCGGGGTTCCTTAACACACAGTTAAACGTTAATACACCGGCGAAAAGTGTTTTTGAGTCCATCGAAAATGCAGCGGCCACGGTCGTGAAGCAATGCTATACAGTCATAGAACGGATAAAATAGAGGAACAGAACAAGGCTCAAACGCGATTTCACCAGAACTCACCCTTTCGGCTATCGCCTTGCTCGATGCCATCTTACTCTCGACACAGCGGGTAGCCTGGTTTAGGTGATGCTGGTTAGCCCATCTCCACCTGTACGCACCCTGGCGGCGTGGCACCATGGCTCGCATGACGGGTGCTCCGATGAGAAGTGTGGCGATGGGATCCGCGCTGTGTGTGACGTTCATTATGACGCTTACGAGACCAGGCGATGCCACGACGGCCTTGCGCTTCTTCACATACTGAGTCTATAAGAACAGTAAACATAGGCACCCAGCTTTTGTGAAGTTGAAAGTCTCAATAAATCTAGTCAGGTTGGTGCAAATTAATATTGAAAAATTTGGCTGACGACAAGCCAGGAATGAAAAATAAAAGCAAATATACTTTCACTTTTATAGGTCTTTGCTTAACGCTTTCGCCGATGTCCAGATTCCAGTTATGAGTTAACATTTGGCGATTAGCAAGAGGTGTACAATTTTTAAAACTGCCCATCAGGTATTTTGAAACAAGCAATATACATACACGACCGCTCAACTAAGAATAAATTGGGCTGTTCGGTTAATCAGCAAAGCACGTGGCAGTGCATTCGACTGAAAAGACGACGTGAAACAAGAAACACGCAGGGACAAATACTCGAGTGCGTCTTTTCCGTTCTTAGTGTTGCTCTTCTAGCCGACGTGCACTGCCATTGCTAAAAATCTGAAGGAATGTTACGACATCACAAAAACGCACTCTAAGTGAAAGCAAAAGTGAGAACTCTTTATGCTTATTCATTAAAAATTTAAATATCCCCAGCCTAATTGCACAAGTTCTGGTGTCTTCGGCAGCTGCTAGCAACCCTAGTACGAGTCACAATTATTCTTGAAGGCCACGTATAATGACCAATTGACTTCAAATTTTAGTTGTACCTTTTTTGGGAAACAAGTAGCACCGTGACAATGTGAAACGTCGAAACCCAAACTCGCCGCTTTTTATAACACCGCTCCAATAGAATTTTCCGGTCGTCAATGCAGCAACTGCCTTCGAGAAGGCAAGATCGCAAGTCAGAAGGTCAGCGAAAGTAACACCCCCTGCTCGATACTTCTAATCTCTTCAAGCCTGAATGTTCTTAACTATTGCCTCGCTCCGCTAACTGCGTCCTTACCGTATTATGGGCCACCACTTTGAGCCCTGAGTGTAAAAGGCGTGTGGTACTGAAATGAATGTGCCATAGGCAGACAGAAAACATTTATTTATAGCAAGCGCGTTTGGTAGGGGCTCTTTAAACCTCGCGAGGTCCCAAGCTACGTCTAGATGGTCATGCCCTCTTTTTTCATGGTTTACAATGCTACAAATAGGCATTACTGAGTTCAAATCAGCGTTCATAGCGAGGCAGTGATCATCGTCTGATTCAATCTACCCTAAATTTGTTACAGTACGGTGTGTAAACTTAAACAATATAAAGCATAGTTCGCTTTAAACACCTAGTTGAAATCGGTTGGATGTCAGATCCAATTGGTTTATGAAGGTACGTACATCGGCAGTGAAGAGGGACATCAGCGGAACGTCGCGGTGACGCACGCTGTTCATGAACTCGGCGTCAACCACTTCGAGGTGCCTCCGAACCTCCACAGCAATGGATTCGTTGAAGTGCTCCATCTCCAGCTTGGCTGCTGCCCCGGCACCTGCGACTGTCCTGGAGACATCTGTGTCTTGCACGATGGTGTTGTTTCTGCATGGCATATGAGGCGATTGTTCACAAATGCTCATCACAACGCACGCGGCATTGAAGAAGTGCCTCAGCAATTTCAACATATAAATACAATGGTTTCCGTACCAGCACGAGCAGTTTCCATTGCCGTGAAAGTTACTAGCCTTCATCTTGTCCTTTACGGCCAAGTGTTACCATGTTCCAGTGACATAGCGCGTGGCCACGTTACATGATGCGATGTGCCCGTATGGGGCCGTATAGGCACACTTTAATCAAAGTGCTATCATTCAATCAATCAATCAGTCATTTGCCTTGCATGGAAAGAGGGCGTGGAAAAAATCTCCCGTTAGCTTTACTAAGCTTCCCTGCCGATTGCATCTCAGCAAGCAGTGATAGCATACGGTATTGGCGTACATAAGTATATATCGTTCTTGTATACATGATTACTGAAAGAACACAACACGTGCACGCAGTTCAGCGTGTGGTAACAACTGATATTTTTGCGGTGAACACCATATCCTGAGAACCCTGTTCAAATGAACATCAACTTGAACAATTTTTTGTTGAAATCAATTCTGCCCTTATAACGCACATGCAACGGTAGCAAAGATTTGATGCTGACATTTCATTTCAAATCTAATATTTATGTGCCAGGAGTGCACGTTAAGACAAAAAATGTACGGTCACACTCGTTAGTATGTCTATCAATTTGATGTCTTCAGAAGCAGCGCAGTCAGACATGAAATTAAATGTTGCGTCTTTTGTTATGAAGTTATTTACGTAATCTATCAAAATATGTCCAAATTCAGTAACGGCATGTAAACTGAGGGTCTGTATACGACCATACACAGCAAAGAATATTCCGTAGACACGAGACGTCATTAAGCACCATTGAAGAAGTATACTATTCAGCATTTAACCAGCGCAAAGCGTAGTTTGTGGGACGCCCGCAAATAAGACAGACAAGGACACCATAGCTGTTTCTTCGCTCGTTTCCATCACGTGAAGATGCTAAGGCATCCTCATACGTGGGAAGTATAGAAATACCCCTTCGATAAGAAGTGTGGTCGTGGATAGATGCCGTGCTTTCAAATATACTGTTTTGACATGTTCCAAAGTATACGATAAATGCACCGCCGATCAAAACACAATAGTGATGGCGCACGAACGACGGGACAAGTGAAATTTGGGACAAATCGAACGTCTAACCACTGCCTCTCTGTGTTTACGGGAAATAGCACAACAAATATTAGGCACACAACCAGGTACCACAGGAAGACTTCATGACGCTGTCTCATGGCTGCGCTGACGCACACGAAGATAGCTTATATAATTAACTAAATTCCATGCCCGCTCATGGTACCAGCTGATAGCGTTGTGTTCCCTCCTCACCATTGCGTCTATTAGTCATTTCATTGTGAATAAAAATGCAATGCCAACTCGCCGTTGATAAGGCAATGTCAACTCGCCCAACGCTCGAATCTTCTATGTTATTTAACGTTACGTGCCTTGTATATACAGTATAATTTACAGCACGAAAATCATAGATTGATAGTGAGCGTTTTATGGCATTTGTTATTTCACTTGTCCGTCGTTTCTGCCGTTTCGCCATTCATGACATAAAGCAACTAGTTCAAGTAAAAACCATCGATCTATGAAGGACCTTGCCTGTTGCGGCGTGAAAGCCACCTCGGCACGCGATCCCTCAGTGCCCAGCGGAGCAGCCAGGAAACCTTGGAGAGGATGTCGTGGGGCCGCCGTACGGCATGCTTCAGAGCGAGACGGGCAGTTTTTGTAGTGTTGGTGATGTAGTGATCTTCCATCAGGTTGAAGCAAGCCTGAACGCGTGCTTTTGGTGGTTCGTCAAACACTGCTTCAAAGATTCGGTTTGCCTGTGTCAGAAGGACCCGGAGCCACATCAGTGAAGTTAAAATATTGGCTACGCAATTTGTATTTCTAAGTCTTTATATATTTTGGCCACCAATACAATTAAGTCAAATGCAGCTGATTTATTTATGCTAAAAATTTTAGCTATATTGTAAGTGAAATATCCCCGCCGCGGTATTCTAGTGGCTAAGGTACTCGGTTGCTGACCCGCAGGTCGCGGCATCGAATCCCAGCTGCAGCGGCTGCATTTTTGATGGAGGCGGAAATGCTGCAGCCCCGCGTGCTCAGATTTGGGTGCACGTTAAGAACCCCAGGTGGTCGAAATTTCCAGAGCCCTCCTCTACGGCGTCTCTCGTAATCATATGGTGATTTTTGGACGTTAAACCTCACATATCAATCAATCAATCATGTAAGTTGAAGATACTTACTCAGCTTACATTTATATTTTTATTTTATTATTTTTATAAGGAGTACAGCGCAATGCACTTCTAGCCATCTTATATACGCAGTATCCACTCACACCAATATGCCTTGCGTGATACAATGTGGTATCTCAAAAGGCCCCTTTGTTATTGTGATAGCGATTATGCGAACACTCTCGGCTCGTTTTTGCAATCGGTGACACCAGAGTCATGCCCCGCGGGTATTTGTGCGCGTGAAGAACAGTGTTTTTTTTCAAAGGTGGTTAGACCTAATAGGTGCTAAAATTCCAAGCAGGCTTATGTATCGGGGATCCAAAAGTAGGTTCTTCAGTAAAAACGTTTGTCTTCCCTGGCCAAAGTAGGGCTTGCAATTCTACTACGCGATCGTGAATAAGGAAAGTAAAAAGGCGTGCGAATATCCGCACCATAGGTCCCAGGAGGGGCGAGAAGTAGATGACCTTCCAGTACAGCTGATATCGGTCCAGGTGCTCTCCGGACTCCATTGCCAGGTCTATGGCGTAGTGACACCGGGCAGCGCGGGCGACCCATTGGCAGGCGGCTGGAATCCACTCACGTGTGAAGAAGCCCGAAGCGGGTTCAGTGGAGTCGTCGAGGCTAAGGTTGTTCGTAAGGCTGCACAAAGCATTAAGGAGCAAACGCGGCACCTACTTCAGTTGTAACAAAGACCTCACGTGTACGTATTTGAATTGCGTAGGCATCTTTATAGTCACAGACGTCGTGGGGATAAAAGTGACAAGCACCACGCCCTACACCACCAGGCATTCAGTGAGTCTTAGAAAACAAGTCAGTAAATATGAAATCGAAAATACCTTTACAGCCACCATTTGGCGCGAAGCAAGACCGAAACAATACCTCCACGATATATGATTGTCCTATTTGTCGCGCATTAGCGTTTCACGTATTTGTTTATAACGTGCTTCCTTCCAACGCATGTAAGTTCTAAAAAATTTGTATTGTGAATCATCATAATTATTCAGTAGTAAAGCGTTGTGGCATGTTACGATGCTTCTCACTTCCTTTCCGCTTCGATACTTACGTAGGCAAGGTGATAGAAGCAAAACTTCAGTAACTTTGTTTCCCATATTTCGCATACGGAGCTCAACTGGATTGGCGTTACTTAGAGAAGAAAGAATTTTTCAGCATTCCACCCGATTTCAGTTGCACTATTGGGGTGAGGGCTACGTAGTGTTTGCGATCACAAATAATGGTTAATGGTTGTGAACCAGGACACTCAATGGGGAAGGCTTTACACATTTCTTTTGGTGGTAAATGCAAGTCTTCGAAACTTTTCATGCAGCACATGCTACCGTCGCGCGGAATGCATTGGTTCTGTACCTTTTGATGTAATCGAAGAACTCCGGCATGGTGCGTCGGCGACCGGACTTGAAGAATCGCTCCGATAAGGTCAATGGTGTCTTGGGCAAGTTGGAGGTACAACCATCTAGCTTTTTCTCATCCCAATCGCTGAAAAATGACAATGGAAAGCACGAGATAAGTTTCAAAGAAATATTTCTATCGTTGCTTTAGCATAGATTCTCTCAGAGCGTGTCTAGTACGAATGCTTTTATACGTAAAAAAATAATTATGCGGTGTAAAAGGTACAAATCATTCGTAAAAAATGTGTCAAGAAGATGTTGCAAATTTATCAGAAGGTGCGTGTGATTTTAGGGATGAAGCTTCTTATTATCGGGAGGGGGGGGGAGGGGGAGACACCCCCCCAAATATATAGATGTTTGAAATATGGCAGTTTGGTGAATGGACACCAGATGACATTGGAGGAGCAGCTGCTCTTTGGCTGCTGCGCTGGGGACCACTGGTGTGCCCATTATCTCTCCATCTCATGGATTGTCACCGTACGTGTTGGATCGCAAGCACGGCGCCGGTTGTATATCGAGAGGGCTCACGCCAGGGATGCCGCCGCGAAGCGCGTACTTAACCAGAAGCGGATCCCGGAATGCGAGAGCGGGAAGCGGCGATGTTCTCGGAGGATTCACAGTGTCACTGAAAAACCTCCGGAGCTTCAACCTCACCATCAACCACTCTGTGGAGATGGTTGATTTTTTTTAAAATAGTGAACTGCTTCGGCTTACGTCCAAGTGCATGGTCGTCGAAGTGACGCCCCTGACGTGGTTTGTAAATGCGTTCGCCATGTTTTTTCTCTTGTTTTAAAGCATCTGTACGTTAATCTTTCGACTGATGTTTTCCTCTGAAGCTTGTCTCTGAGCGATTTAGCAAATTGACCATACACCCCAGCACGCGTTTCTCGCAGGTACCCCCCGAATACACCTACTTCTCCGAACAACAAGTGAAAAATTAGAGCATCATTGCAAGCTAAATAAGAAACCACAAGTGTAGTAATTATGATTGACTGAATGCATATGTTGTGGTATGATCGAAGCATTGAATCGAAGCATTGATTGAAGGTAACTAGAGTATGTTACATTCTACTCGTTCAAAATATAACAGTCAATATGACAGCTAACGGAATAAGTTATCCTCGGCTTTCAACAGTGTATAACGTTTTTTTAGGGGCGTAGGTGCTAGGGTGTGGTTCGTTCCCTCCTCTGTAGAAGTAATAGTAGTGGTTGTAGTAGATGTAGTATGTAGACACCTCTAGTTTATGAATTGCTTAATAGATGGCGTTGTGTGTATATATCCTTGGAAATATTATCACTAGATGGTGTTGGTGGTTTTCATATAGTTGACGCATGGACGGACGGACGGCCCAACAGTCAGACGGATGGACGGCTGGACAGAAGCACGGACGCACACACGGAAGCACGGACGAACCGGCGGAAGCATGAATGAACAGATGGCCGCACGAAAGCCTAGACGGTCAGATGAACGCACGAAAGCACGGATGGACGAACGAATAAATGATTCGCCTCATTGAACATCGTTCCCTCTATGAATATGCTGTGAATATTTTTTATGCCTTGCGCAACCTTAACTCGGGAATCTGTGTACTTGTGACACACAATGCGCTACTGAAGAAGATAGTACAATGCATTTATGCTGCTAAAAAGACATCACCTGTGGGATCTGGGAATTCTGCGCATGTCTACGGAGAAAGGTCAATGCAGAAGAAGAAAACTCACTATCTGATGTGGTCCTTTATCATGAGATCCACGCCTTCCATGCAACGCTTGAAAAGGGAGTCGGAGTTCGCAGGCAGGGCACCATCCTGGGTCTCGTGACGGCTTATGATGCGACGCATGCTGTCCATGAGCTTGTCCGAGCCGATCTTGTATGGGGATGGTGTCTTCGCTTCGCAAACATGACGGTAGAAGTCGGTGCAGGGTCGGTTCCTGTTTGCGGCTTCCCTTCTTTGCGAGCCCCCACTGTTCAGGAGGGACTGCAGCCAGCGGCAACTCGGCGTTGCACACGGCGTTTGCCGGAACATGCTGTCGGCGTCCATCGGCTTGTAGATGTGTTCCTGGAATGGTTATGTTCGGCTTTATATTGCAGGCCACTGACACGGCTAATACGTACAGCGGGTATTCTGGAGGGTAAAGCTGTGAGTAATTGGGCATACGGTTACAATACAATGAAGACAATTAATGTGCAAGTTCCGCGAAAAGTGTGAAAGCTAACGACAAGTTGAACACCTTGAATTTTTTAGTAACAAACTTTACGGTACAGTACAAGGTGACGAGGCTGAGGTTTTCAAAGCATTCAAGTCTGGGAACCTTTAGGCCAAAATTCGCTTTGAGCAGGTAGAAATAACCAAGAAGAGATAATCTCAATGGTGGCTGCATTCGAGGCAGTAGTTAGGTTTTATCTTTTGCTGTGTATAGTTACTACTTCCTTATATGAGTGCTATGGCTCCGTGGTATAAATGGTCATCCGATCTGAATGGTACAGGTCTGTCTATGCATCCAGGCAGAAAGACAACGTGCAGACATTCGTTGACCGTTATTCTTTGTCCTCCCTCTCGTTTCGGCGCTACATTAAGTGCGTTGAGTCATGCACGTGTCTAGCGTGAACGCCGGAGTGCCTGTAGCATAGAAACAGTAATGATAATTGTTCCGCTATCACGCCTCAAAGCCACTACATCATTCTGAGGCACGGTGCATAGAGTAGGATTTGAGAAAATATGGGCTCCATTGGAGTTTGGGAAATGGTAGATGCTTGGGCTGAGTACTGCATTCTTAATAGAATTTTTTTCTCTGTGCGTAAAAAGTTAAAAAAAAAGACATATTACAGAGCACTTGACGTTGATAGGCACCCGTGTCTTAAATATTGTTTCTCCTGAAACGTTTTGAACACAAATAAAGGTGTTTAACTTTTAAAATGCACCTGGAGTTGTTTGCGCTGAACCCGAATTTATGTGCACTGACGTCAAGCATGTTCGCTTTCATGACTACTACTGCCTCAATTCACTCTCACGATCTTCGAGTCAGCAGTCGATCACCATTACCACAAGGCTAACGTAGCGAGCCGATTCCACTTGGTGCTATTACCGGCGCTCACCAATACCAACGCGAGACTCTGCGCATGTTCAATGTGCGAACTTAGTCACAATTTTTTCACATCTTTCTTTCCTCTCTACTAAAATCTTTCAGTCCCCTTCCCCATCCCTATACAGAGGAATATTGCAACAGGATAGCAAAGGTGCCTAATTAGTAAATCATTAATTGTTCAGGGAACTGATGTGTTCCTCCTACGCTCCCAATTCACTCAACAATTATGACAGAGGAGCATGCCAGTGATATATAGACGTCGTCAAAAATATCTGTCTTATTAATCAAGTCTTTCTCTGTCGTGGAGTGGGAGAATTTCGCCATCCCGCGCATTGTATAAGTATTGCTGAAAAACAAGCAGTGATAGATTGAACGTTGTCTAACAGCACATCCGCAATAAGCGCTCGCCGATGACAATGTGCACGTTCCACTAAAGACAAACAGGCTACAAACTGAGCATGTACAGAGCTTCGTGACGTTGAAGGCAGGCGCAACTGGTGTAGCCAACAAGGGAAGGAAGGAGGATGCCTGAACACCTTCGAAAATTTTCAATTTTGCATGTGCGCATATGCACGGTGTCCAAGAGATGTGTTTAGCAACACTTCAAAGTTACGCCCAAATAAGCGGTCTAGTACATTGCTTAGAATATAGTGACACTGAGCTACTTACGATAAAGTACCTTGCCCGGGCATCCCTTGGAATGTGCCGGCGAAGAACGTTTCTTTCCTTGCATGTGCCTGTGAGCCGCTTGCTGCGGCGACGTTGCTCAGATTTCTTGTGGGAGTGCTCAATGGATGTTTTATGGGAAGTTGCCGTTTCTGTGTCCGATTGGGCTGCGCTTCTACAGCCCGGGCATTTGCACGAGCAGCCCTCAGTGCATGCCTCCGTGGCCGGGCAATCATTTTTTTTGACGAGCTCGCTTGGCTTCTTCTGCGGTGTTCGTCCCTCTCGCTGCTTCCATTGTCATCTGTGCAACGACATTGATGAGCTTACCAACACAACACGCATCAGTGCGCTGCAGCTGTATTCTTCAATAAACGTTTCATTTAAGAATCTGGTTGAACGCCTCTGTACCATACTGTTGATTCAAATTCATGCTCACAAATTAAAGCTCGTGATTCTTGATTACAAAAGCA